GTAAATCAATTAATGATCAGGATGGAAAATAAAAACAGTTGATGTTTAAGCAGGAGGGGAGAAAATGCATTCTAAATGATGGTTAAAGGCTATAACAAGCAACTTCAAGCAAGATCTTTGGAGAAAGGAGATGCTAGAGGTTGATTGCTTAAAAGAGAGCTTAGCATCAGGCTAAAGGAAAGTCATATGGTGATTCAGTTTATTACCTTTAAATCTCTCCAACAGAAGAAAGGTAGCATTTAAACCTAAATTAGATATGCATATACTAGATTTTTAAAAAAATCAGAAAGAAGGCTGACTTAGTTTTTTACAGTCTAAGGTTGAGATAAAGAAATCCTGGGACTATAAACAAGTAGCCTCTAATTGAAGATCTTCCTTAATTGAAACTATTCTTTTTTTTCCAGGTACCTGATCCAAAGAGCAATCTTTTTTGATACCCCCCCCCCCCGAACTACCATCCTAAAAGTAAGGCAGCAACAGTGAGGAAAAGTCAGTTCCGAAAGAAGAGACTGTGGGGCTGGTGGATTCAGAAAGTGGAGACTCAATCAGCTCCAGGACATGCCAAGCTCTACTATCCCAGACAGGTACTAGATTAAATTCTCTTTCACTGAAACATGACAGGCTTCCTACAACTATAAGAAACATACCATAATCTTTTTTTCCCCATCTAGATCCAACCAAACCCCTTGTAAACCAGTCTCTCAACAGGGAGCTGACAGCAGTTTGCTTAGCATTGCAATTGAATCCTCAATATTGAGACTGGAGATGGCCCTGATAATTTTGCTAAAGCAGTATTCTGCTTAATCAGATGAATCTTACTTTGCAAGGTCAAGTATGTGACAAAAGGTGTTTATTGATTTGGAGAACAGGGCCATATCCTCCTTAAACCCAGGAGCTGTAAGACTATCTATGGAATTATCAGGGATCACATTCATCATATTATGTGCATTTATTTCACAAGTAGCTAATTAGAGACCTAAGATAAAAAGTACAGGCACAAAAGGCTCATCATCTCCCCCTCCTACATAGAAATACTCTCATTAGGAGATGTCATATCAATTTAAAACTTCTGTTGTTCCTACTTTAATAAGTCAAATGTCATCAGGTAAAATCTGACACCAGTGATAATGCAGTGTTGACACAGATTAAAAAATATTGATGTTACTATCGTATTTCGTTGTCTTTGGTTACCATAAATTTTACACAATTAAAAAACAGGCAGCAATGAATTTTGGCAAATTTTACGCTGACAAATTTAAAAGTACTATAAAATTTGATAAGCTGGATCAAGGAAAAAAATATTTTGAACTATATGTTATTCTTTTTCCAGGTATTGAACTAGCAGTTCATCGATGCAAAGAGTCATAGCTTTGGGGTATTCTATGCAATTTCAAAGCACCTGTGGAAGCTCACTTATGTCTTAGAGCAGACATCACCAGGAGGCAGCGTGTCTAAACCACAAATGAAGAATCTCCTCCCTACATGTGTGTAAATTAAAACCTATAAAATAACATGGGAATTATAAAATTTGTGTTAAAACTGATAACAGCTTTACTGATTTACTGACAATGAAAATATATAGCATTTTTCCTGTCAGAGCATTTATCAACACTTGGCAAGCCTGCACTAACTTGACATGTAAGATGATCAAAATGGATTATGTAATCTTTCCCATTCATTTCTATTGATTTCAGTTATGATAAAATTCATCAGTATGCCTGGGAACACTTAGGCTGAAAAGCTCTGGCTGACCAAAAATTAAAAAAGAATGGAGTGGGGGAGAAAGAGGAGTTGTGGGGTTTTTAGTAGGGTTTTGTTTTGTTTTAAAAAAGTATTCAACAGAGTTGTAATAGGATGAATGTAATTTTAGAATAGGATTGTACAAATACAGAAGTCATGCCTTAAATGTTCCAGAAACAAATGAATACAAATAATTCTGGAAGTCCCATAAAATTACATCTGTCTATGCAAAGATTCCACTTTTGAGCTTAAAATTACATTACAAAGTTCAAGCTGAAAGAATGAACATGAAAGTGTCATTAAGCAAACAGTGTCTTAAAATATTTTTTAACTTAAAAAAAAACCCTTTCATACTAATCAGTTATTTCACTGACTGCAAGTAACATCAGCATGCCAGCAAATGGACCATTTTAATCAGTTTTATTGATTCATGCTTTCAGTTCTTATTCTGTTAAAAACAAGGCACATTAAATACATCCTCTTATTGCTCTATAAATGCATGCAGCTCATTCTGTATATCAAAAGTAATAAATAATGGCAATATAACACCAAGACAGTTATAAAAATGACAACCCAGCCTCAAACATAGTATTTAACAGTCCAATCTAGAAAAATAACCCAACACAAAACATAAAAGTGCCACATACGAAAACATGCAGTGTATGCACTCCAGCATCGGGCTGATATCAGATATTCTTTGAAAACCCAGCAAGGCTCTTTTACTCTCTAGAAAGGATTGATATAATGCAAAACAGAGTGAGTTATAGGTTCATTGACTTCAACATTATTACATTCATTGGCCAAAAATCTTTACAAATACATAACAATGAGGGAATCAATGATCACCCTTACAAGTATATTTAGTAAAAGTCAGAATGAAATTGTTGGTACAAAAGAGGAAGGCTGCATATTGTGAAACAGATAAAGTAAAGCCAGAAAGTAAATCAGAACAGTAAGCATGCATTTAACAGTAGAAATATTAAAAAGTTGTACTCAATATAAATTGATTGAAAGTAAGAATATTGCAAACAGCATGATGGATATGAGGCAGACAGTCCTGGCTTAACAAATAATCCAGCATTATCACTATTATTATGACTGTGGTAGGAGCTATTTAAAGGGGTATACAACTCGCCACCACAGATGGAGGTTCCTTCACCTGAATCCCCTCAAATGCGCTTGAAATAAATCACTTGATGACAAAATATAATCCCTGAAAACACCCCAGTCCCACTCCAACAGAGTCATCTAATATCACCTTTATATGAAAAGGAGGGAAAAAAATATTATTTTACACTTGAGATGGAGTTTTTAATGGGCTTCCTCCCCTATTTCTTTTCCACTCTTTAAATCAGGTAAAAATGCTGTGATGGTTTAATTAAGAACTTACAGTAAAATGCCGGGATGCTTGATTCACAGTAAAGTCTTGGAACCAGTTCATTTTCCAAGACAAGTCTCTGGGATTGGTGAAGGAGCTTATGCTTTAGAATTAAGCAGATTTTAGGCAAATGCAGATATGCTCCAAAGATGAAAAATTTGCTTTTCTCTGCCCTTATAAGAACTTCACTCATAGCAAAGCGTGCACAAACAAGGCCTGTTTTACAAACACAGCGCTGCCCGGGCCAGCCAGGATGATTTCTAAGCCCAATCCCTACTGTAATGGACTCAGGGAGGATACAAGTCCTCGTTATCTCCGTCTAACTAGAAAAAGAGAGAGAGAGAGAAGAAATGTACAGTATTATGGTATTTTATGTGGGACGTTTTCCAAAACAGCTCTTGCACCTAGTAAGTGCCACTAGGTTTTAAATAGTGCAATTTATTATATATTAATAGAAAAATGCAAACTTGCACATACTTTCATTATTTCTTTTTTAAGCCAGTGTAAAAATATTTCACACCTTGAAAGAAAAACTTCACAGTGATATGTGGAAGCATCATTTGCTTATGGTGAGTATCTGGGCTTCACCTAAAAGCACAACTGGACAGACCCCTCTCTTTCTCTGCAGTTTCTGTTTGTTTCAGCTGGGGATGAGGGCATGGGGGAGTGACCTGCTGGTGTTTATACAGTGATTTACAGGCTCATAATCCACTTGAATGAGGCCTATAGATATCCTACATACAGTGTTGGCATAAAGAACAGTACAAAAGTATTTTATATCCCAGTTTAAAAATGAAGACCTCAAGTCTGTGCAATGAAAATCTGCTGAGAGATGAAGGGTTATATTTCCTATATTACACAGAACCTAATTTTAAGAAAACAAAAGTGGTAGGTAGTTACTTCAGAAGGGGAAGCACAATGAATATTCAGACGACTCTAGTTAAAATGTCACCAAAATATAGCAAAAGCATCCCAAATTGGTGTTTAAACTCAATGCATTACTCGTTAAACTCAATGCAAAATGCTGTGTGTGTGTATGTGTGTCTTATGTGTCTGTGTGTTATGGTGTTTTATTTTTATTTTTGGTTAAATAATGTGGCATTGTGTTATTTTGCACATGATTATAAATAAAGTTAATTTTTAACTAAAATCTATTCCTATCTTCTTTCACTATTGTTTGTTTGCAAATACCTGGAAAAATAATGCAATAAACTAACAAAAATAGGCTACATTACATTTCATTTCATTCATTACCACATGCTCCAAAAAACTAGGATTTGGGGATTGAAAATTGTGCTCTCACATGTGTGGCTACATAAAAACCATTTTACCCCCTTAAATTTACTATTATAGAAATCTGTGAAATTTGGTCTTAGGTTATAATACACAAGTTGAGTGCTGGCTTTAAAGTATAAAAAGAAAGATGATCCGGGCAAAAATTATAGCCAAAGAAAGACAGCAGTGATTGGGGGAAAGAAAGCGCTGCTGAGATGCATAGGTCACCGTAACTCCTAGCAAATGTCAATGCTATCCTTATCTTACATCTGAGATTCTCCAAGCTTCTGAGTTCTCATTGTGATTGCTCCTGTAACTAGATCTAAACTTTTCTTCCCTCTCCAGTTTTGCTAGTCAAACTCTTGACAAAAAAAGTATAAAAGTGTGCAGTCTCATTTTGATGTAGAGGAGAGATAAGTTGGAGGAAGGGGAGGGGGAGTAATCTCCAGAAACTCTCTTTTCTATAGACATAATTTCCATTATACTTCTTTCAAAAACAAACTCTGCCTGTAAGCTTTAATGTCCAGAGCTCAACTTCTTTCAATTTCTACCCCAAAAATTCTGCCTCGAGAACAGATTTAGACTAAGCTAAAAAATAATGAAGTACGTCCAGTCTACTAAGTCACAAGATGAGTGGAATACATGTGCATTGAAAATGAGAATTAAAAAATACACTTTTTAGAAGCTAGACTGAATGGCAAATACAAATAAAGGATACACATCCTAAACCTTTGGAATGTTCGCCAGTGTTAAAAGGCAGTCATTCACATGTGCTACTTTGGAGTGGTGTACATTCTCTCTGGTTGTTGCGTGGTGATCTGCTTGTTCCTAAGTTTGTTGGCTGTGGGTTTACTGCCCAGACTCACAAGCCTCCACAACTACGATCCACGGGAATCAGAACTCTTCTGTCGAGGTTCTCTTCCGCAGTTTTCATTAATATGGCCAGTCGACTCCCAGATACCCTTCCTTTTTGAATGGCACTCATCAGCTTAAAGAGAAAATAAGCAAAAGATTAAGAAGGCCGGACAGCTTATTCGTTTCCTCGTGGCATTTTAATGGTTACCAATGCAGCAGGCAGAGGTAATTAAGTGTTCCATCAAAAACCATAGCAGGTGCTATAGCTTAAATAAGAAAAGTACAATTTTTGAACATTTCAAAATGGGAGGAGGGGACAGGCATGTATCTCGGGTGGGGGCGGGGGAAATCACACCCAGCATCTATCTAGAAAATCAGCTTGCCTTTTCAAAGCAAATCTAGTGCGTGGTTTTTTCACCCTTAAGTGTGTTTAGGGCATATATTCAACACCACCTCCCTTACTTTTGAAACAACTCAAATATTGGCTCTTTAATTCCATTTTAAAATCTTAAAAAGGAATCTCCAGGATTGAATGAAGACAAACCATGACCTATATTTAACTACCCTTTTCTTCAGTGTTACTGTACTTGACAACTTCAAGTCTCCTAAATCCAAATTCCTTAAAGACTTTTTAAAGTAATTTACATTTAAGTCCTTGAAAATGGACTCAGAGATCTACCTTAAGAATTAAAAGCACTCCACAGCCTAGATTTTAGCTAATTCACTTTTATCCAATGGATAAAATCAGAATTAGTTTTGAAATTACATGTAGTCAATGGGCAAAGGCCTTTAATCTGGTAGGCACTTTGCAATTACGAGCGTAGGGAATTTTTTTCCCCCTCCTTTTCAAGTTGATGTGGTTTTAACTATTTGCCTTTCTTGATCTCATTTCTCCAATCTTTTAAAATTTATTTGTTTATCCCTAAAAGAAGTGACTTAGTTGTTCACAGGAAAGGTGTATATAACATTTTCAAAGTATGTTTATGGATATAGCTTTCAGTTGAAAGAGATACATTTAAAGATGGCTATGAAAGCGAGTTAACAGCATCTGCCGAAGGGCCAAATCAGAATCTCCTGACCTTATTAAAAGCTGGTTCACAAGCTACTGCTTATTAAAGGCGGTCTTCCCTATGCAGAATACAGTCATGTAACCATGCAAAATCTATAATGATCCTTCCATGAGGATTTCTGAAAAACCAAATGCAGATTCAGAGAGATGAGTAATGGACAGACAGAAGCTCTTAGTCTCAAGAAAATTGAAAATATTTTATTACTTTCCCTCTAAAGAAAATCCCACTGAAAACATATTTTACATCTAATGAAGGATGGTATAACAATCAAGGATGCTGACAGGTAAAGACAGAATAATTCACTTTCTGTTTTGCCTCAGATTCTATAAAGGTTTTCAAAGTTATCAGAACTAACACAATTGATGGAACCTAAGCTTCTTTTTTGAAGCATAAACAATATATATGGTCCAACCTTTACAAACTCAGTCAGCTTTTACATTAAAAAAAAAAGAATGAGTAAAATCTAAAAATTACTAGTATAAAAAATAGCATTAGAGTATAAATATATTTCTTAAAGGGCAGGGGCACACATTTTATAAGTTGAAAATTATATTCTGTATATTTTAATTGAAAAAGCAAGCATACACTTTAGTTTTGGTCAAGAAATACTCAATTATTAAAAACTTTGACAAGAAAATATGCAGGTTCAGAATTTTCTGCACTGCATTTAAAAATGAAAGAATCTTAAAACCCAAGGCACATAGTTATTATTAGGACCACAAAGTATAAACATAAAATGAGACTCTTCTTATTGCTAAAACCCAGACTTTTTAAATCCTAAACATTTGTTTATTTGAAACACACCTGAAAAAAGTACATCCATTTCTCTGAAGAAAAGTATTCTAAATTACCAATGCAAACAAAAAAATATTGTTTAGAAACTACACATATACACATATAAAATGTATTACAAGTTTTCTAATTCTGAACACAAATTTTAAAGTCAACTTGAAATGTGTATTTAGTTAAACAATAAGCTAAAAAGAATAGACATTCTGTTTTTGGAATGCTGAACACAACCTGTCAAAATTGTCTGCATTTAGATTCAACAATGCTTTTATCTGCAGCTCATCTCCAGAGAGACAATTACCATTTCCTTTGCCTTGATATTGTTTGTTTAACTTGACACAGTGAAGAAAGGGCTGACATTGACCAAAATCCCCAACATTAATTTATTTCATGTTCAGCATTCATCATTGCCATGGTGCAAGTAAGACCTGGCATTCATTTGAAATATCCGCCCAAGAAGCACTAGAGAAAAAACCTGGCTACTCGATAACCAATGTGCTCTTCATATGCTCTGAGCCATATGGACAGATACAAATATGCGGGCTTATTTTATTTCTTTTTAGGAATAATGTATAGCATCCAATTTAAAATAAAAGTAACAAAGCATTTCCTTAAATGACATAAAGAGTAAACAAATTAACCTCAAATACGTTGAAAACTGGGAAATAAAGATGTTTGAATTAACCCCAGAATATGTTTTTCATGTTCTTTACAATGTATCTAATAATGACATTCTAACTAAATATGATTTTCAAATTAATAGAAATATGATTTCTTTAAAGTTTTTCCATTAAAAAAAATTCTCTTCTACATTAGGACTATCAGGTTGTCTCATTGGGTACAAAATGGTCCAACAGTGAAAGTTCATGCACACTTCTTTTAAAAGCATGCAATTTTTTTAGCCTTTAGTCTTAAATAACTTGGTTTTAATCTAAATTGCAATATTTCTTATAAAGAGAAAATAAACTAAGTAGAACCTTATCCTTTAATGGCAGACACGCCAGCCTTTGCTGGCTTCTAGTTTCCTCCTTTCTTTGAGAATGAAGTGACAACTGTATGCATGTAAAAACCCACCCAAGGGAATCCATTTACTCCAATGATAAACAAAAGACAAAAGGAAATATGCTTATTCTTTTCATCACAACTCACCTGCAGAAACTCATTGAGTTCAACCTGTCCATTTTTGTTCAAATCTACTTCATTCAGAATTTCATGCAATGTGTTTTCATCCATTTGGACATTGATGCTCTAATGAAAGGCAAAGGAAAATCATGAGGTCTAACTGTAAATTAAGCATATCCTTTTCTTAGCATGATTACACTTTAAAAAATTTAAAATTAAACATGCAAAAAAGTATTACACCAGAAAAATTGTATAATATCACCTTCATTTACATTATTCTGTTACTTAGCACAGATATTAACCAAAAGATATTACCTCTAATACACGCTGAACATCAACAATGGTAATAAAGCCTTTTTGGTCTGAATCAAACTTATGAAATCTCTTCTTGTACCTGGAACACAAAAATGGTTAATAAAAAAATATACCTAAGTAAGTAAAAGAGAAACGTGGAAATATATTAGACATACCTGTCAATGTCTGAAGGCAGTAGGCTAATTTCAGAGCGATCCGTTAGTTGTTCAGATCGAGATTTATAGCCCATTTCATAATAGAGAAACTTCTTAGCTGTTTCTAGCTCTTCCTACAACACAAAGTTCAAAGATTTATGGGAAGATATAGTAAATTTCTTTTTCTTTTCCTCATTCTTTGTTCTACACACACACACACACCCCCCAAACAAAATAAGTGTAGGGTGAGAAGTTGAGATGGTGACTTGGTTACACTCATGGTGTTATTGCCCAAAGAGCAAAACAAAATCAAGCTAAGTGGATACAGTCAGCAATCTTGAAACCGTAAACAGACAAATGAGAGCTAAAGAAGCTAAATGAACACCTGCTAGAAGGGAGAAGTGAACCAATGCAATAAACGAGGAGTAACATTGACAGAGGGGCTCAGCCAGCCATCCTGCCTCAACATGGGCATCTTGAGACAAAGGCACTATTGACTCCAGGTGAAAAACACAGGAAGCAATCTCCCATAAGAGACCAACAATATAGGCATGCCTAAAGAGCAGCACAGAGAATGGATCAGTGTCTGGATCTAAGCAAGGAAATCACAGAAAACAAAGCAGGATTTACAGGAATCCTGCCATTCAGAGAGGAGTCAGGGGACCAGGGACTAAAGCCAGATACACTTCTAAGCAGCAGTTCCTCGAGCTCTGGAGCAAGTGGCATGCATGAGGAGGTGAATCTGTGGAGCACTAGTGGGAGGTCTCCCACTGGACCAGACCCCAGGAGTTCTCAACCCTTGCCCTAGGTCAGGAGAGAGTCTTGACTGTTGTCTACAGTAGACAACAAGTATCCCAGAATCCTTGTCTGCTAGCTGGGGAAGCACCTTTTCCCCTCCCTTGTGTGATAAGAAACTGTGATTGTCTCTTATTTAGGACACGTTGCCCAAATGAAAATCCTATCACAAGTCCAATCTCTCTTTCCACCCAGTCCTGTGTGCCACTCTCTCCTGTTTATCTGATGAGTGGTAGTAGGTATGCTCCCACTCTGACACACATTCCACACACTTGAAATGCCCTCTTGGAGCTCAGTGAGCATAGAAACCATGCAAACACACCTGTGCCCCCTGCTATCTATTACTTGCCTTCTAAGAGGTGATGGCAAAGTAACAATAACTGCACCATCTATTTGTGTATTTAGCAAAAGCAGTGGTAGCATGATTCCATACATACTCATCAAATGTTCTCTTTCCCTTTCCTCTGCCCAGTTAGGGTAACCAATCAGCCTCCCTCACCTAGTGAGAGGCTGTGACCATGAGACCATGCATACTTCTGTCTGCTACTCACTCTGTCCCCATCTGGTAGGAGATGGAGACAGAGCCACCACCAACTAGCTACAGTCATCATACCTACTACTCTGCCCATTAGCAAGTGCCATTGCCTGCTCCTGTGATAGTAGGCCTATGACAGATGGTGGGCAATGCCCACAAGCCTACCTCATAAGACTGGAAGAGAGCTATGCTCATACAGCCCTTATCCCACCCACCCAGTACAGGCAAGCAAGTACTCCAGTGGGGCCAGACTAGTGATCAGAGTAGCCAACCTGGATACATCAGAACAAAACAACAATTCAGGACACAAGGGAATAAAACACACATATACTTAATAAATTAATATAATAACATCATAATGCTTTGGAGATAACAGGAAATATCAGACCATCTTATGGAGAATAACAAGATGACTCTAGAAATAATCAAAGAAAAAGAGATTTACTGAAGAAGAAATGACAATGGAACTACCTCTAAGGACCTCAAAAGACTTAAAAAGAAGAGTCTTCATGCAAACAAGAAAGAGACTAAGGAAGACACAAATAAGGAAAAAGGAACAGCAAATACTAGAAATGTTCAGGAAAACCAGGCAAAACTTAAACACACAGAAAGATAATTGGAAACAACACAAAAACCAGTAAGTAGATATCTAAAAGATTAACAATAAAATTTCAGAAATAGTTTTATGCAAGTGTATGTTGTTATGGTGGTTATGTTCCATCGAGTTGGAACCAACTAATAGCTGACCTTTGAATGAGTTTTGAGAGGCTGTAAATCACATAGAAGGAGATTATCCATCTTTCTCCAAAGGAGCAGCTGGTGAATTCAAATCACCAGCCTCATTACCACTAAGATATCAGAGCTACCTAGGGAAAGAACCAAGTCAATGAATGACAGAATCAGCAAAACAGAGTACAAATCTCCTAACACTCATTTGTTTGAGAAACAGTCAGAGAAGAAAATAAGCATTGAGAATTATGTGAAACACTAGAAAAGAGGAATCACTTAGGTGTGATCAGAATTCCAGAACATGAAAAGATGTTTTTTTAATATCTGTTGGCAGAAAACCTCCTCTTATCATGAAAGAGGAAAAGATATCTACTCAAGAAACACAATTTTAAAAAAAAATAAAATTCATACAGGATAGATCTCAATGGAAATCACAAATGATCTCATAATCAAATTTTCCAAACACAAAGACAAAGAATGCTGAGAAGCTGTCTAGCAAAAACTGTCACTTAAAAAGGGGAATCAGAAACTAAACTTTATATTCTCAGCAGAAACTACTTAGGAAAAAAAGTGAAAAGGGGCTACATCTATAAAATCCTGAAAGAAAATAACTGACAACCAGGAAGTGTAAATCCAGATGAGTGACAAGCAAAGCAATGTCTAATAAGGGGATGATCACAAAAATATCAATAAATAAAGAAAGAGAAGGCACAGTTAGATGTATAAGCAAATAATTTGCAATGTTGAACTGTTAAATGTTAAAATAAATTGCAATGTTAAAAAACATGTTCTGAGTAATGTCATAAAACAAAATGTACGAATGGTTTACTGGAAAACAAATTTGTTCTGTAAAATTTTACTCAGATCATGTATTTTGTGATTTTTTTAAAAAATTATATATAAAAAAAAATCTAGGACACAGCAAGTGGTCAGACTTTTATAGCAAGAGATATATGAATTAAAGAGAGAGAAGAGAGCAAAAATAAATACCTTAGCCCTGTAACTCAAAGAAATAGAAAAAGCCATCAAAATAAAAAAGGAAACAATAAAAATTGGAGTGAAAATAAATGAAATGAAAAACAATGACTAAAAAAACTAAAAGACCCAACAAGATGAAAAGTTGGTTCTTTGAAAGGATCAATAAAATTGACAAACTGCCTGCCAAAATGACAGAAGAAAGTAAGGAAAAGATGCAAATAACCCAATTAAAGAATGGGGTGGGTAACATTATATCAGAACTAGGGGAAATAATAAAGATCATAACAGAAAACTGAAAAACTAGCAGGTGGGGACAACCTAACTTTGAAAACTTAGAGGAAATGAACATATAAACACACAGCCTACTTAAAGCTAAAATGAGCATAGATAGAAAATCTAAACAGAGTTCTAAGACAAAAGAAATTGAGAGGTCAATAAAAAAATTCACAACAATTCACATGCTGAGCAAATAATCTAAGAAGCTGAAATATACAAAGAAAAATGGGGCATCAGGACTGGAAGAAGACACTAATAATAAAAATAAACCATGATACTTGGATGATACAACCTGCCTTGCTGAAAACAAACAAGACCTGAAGTACTTACTGAGGAAGCTCAAAGACAATAGCCTTCAGTGTGGATTCTACGTCAACATAAAGAAAACAAAAATCTTCATAACTAGGCCAATAAACAAAACCATGATAAACGGAAATAAAGACTGAAGGTATAAAGGATTTAATTTTCATAGGGTCCAGAATCAACTTCCTTCCACAGAGAAAGCATATGGTATACTGCACTGGGAAAATTTCCTGCAAAGGACCTCTAAAAGTGCTAAAGAGCAAAGATGTCACTTTGAGGATTAAGGTCCACTAATCCAATCCTTGAATTTTCAACTGCCTTACTGAAACATAAACAATGAATAAGGAAGATTGAAGAACTCTGATGTCTTTGAATTACAGTGTTAGGAAAGAATACTAAATACACTGTGGAGTACTTACTAAAAAACCAAACAAATCTGTCTGGGAAGAAATGCAGTCAGAATGTTCCTTAGATGTGAAGATGGTCAGACTTCATTTCAAATACTGAGGGCATTTATCAAGAGCGGATAGTTCCTGGAGAAAGGGACCATGATAAAGAGGAAGATCCTCAATAAAATGGACTGTTTGATTTTGCTGTACAAAGGGTCACTACTAAATAATAAAACTTTACAAGTTGTTTTAATTTGTCATCAAGTATTCACTCTCCCTCCAGTTGGTAAAGCAATAATGCTTATCTATCAACAATATAATCTATGGTATATTTACATGTTGGAATATTATACAACAATAAATCATTATAAAGAATTTGTTAATCATTACACATTATGGATCAATCTAGAGGGAAATATGCAGGGAGCTCTGGTGGCCTAGTGGCAAGAAGCTGTGCTGCAATATTGGGAGTCATGCTGTTCGAATCTACCAGATGCTCTGCAGGAGAAGGAGGGGCCATTTCCTCATGTGCCAGTCAGATACCACTCGATGGTACACAACAAGGGTGGGGGAACCCCAAGAAGCTGTGCCACAGTCTTAGAGGGAATCATAATAAGACAATTATGGTATAAGATCATAGCTCAAAAAAGTATTAAGAAAGGGTTTCACAATCGTAGAATCATTCTTCATGGTTACCAAGGAGGGAAAGTGTAGTAAGACTAAGTAAATAAATAAGTTAGGACAAGAGAGAGTCAAACTGTTATAAAACAAAATGTGTATGTATGACTGATTGAATAAAATAAATGTTATTTCAAAACTTTCACCAAAATATTTTCTTTTTAAAACCACAAGAATAGAGTCCTTATCACCCACTATTAGTGACCTCTAGTTATTTGACTATTTAAAAAGCCATCTATTTTACAGAGATAGCATACAGGGCTTGATAAAAAACAAACAAACAAACAAACTTTATGGATTCAAATCCATTATTTTAGCAACATATTCTTGATGCTAAAATTATGTGACTATGTAAAAATTAACTAAGAGGTCAGCAAAGATTTTTCCTAAGTAAATTCTTACAAGCTTCCAACAATGATCACTATTGTTACTCTTAGGAGATGTTGGCAAA